GCCTAACGCATTGCGACTTGCTCGCGGCGAATCCATTTCGCGCCTGGCATCGAAAACAACCGCGTTTGAGCCCCCTGCGGCAGAGCAGCTGCGAACGCATACCTTCTGCCAGCATGATGCTTGAATTGCTTGCAGAAGAGGCATCGGCCAGCATTCTGGCTGGACCGAGCCCCCCCTCGTAGATGTCAATTCATCGCGAGTCTGTAATTGATTTGCCGGCGGCGTCCCGGCAAATCCTGTCTCGAACTTGGCCTCGCGCGCCGCGTTCCCCGAATGTCTTCACCTCCTCTTCCCTGGCTTTCAGGGTGGGTTCGCAACTTCGCTTCGCCACTGAAGCATCGCCACGCGCGTGCGCCTTGCCGTCTCCACTCTGGCGCAGCGCGCAGATACCTGGCCCACTAGCTGGTTCAACCTCGTCTGTGGCCGCGCAAGCCTCGGATGCCCCTCGCACTTTTAACCTGCCGAGGCGATCGCTCGCTCGGCGCCCCCATTGGCCGCGCTGCGCATTGGCCGCGGCGGCCTCTCTGAAAATTCCACTATGACAAGATGCGCGCCTCTGAATTCGCGCCCCCCCGCGCCCCGTGATTTGACTGGCCGATCTTCGCGGGCGCGGCCTGCGCCTGCACCTCTGCCGCTACATATTGCGCGCGAGCTCCCCAGGCGCCCGCGATGGCCTTGCGTCGTGGATCTGGCAGCAGCGCGCCTGGCCACGGCAACTTGTCTGCGATCTCCTTATGATATTATAGCCGTCGACCCCGCCGGGGTCAAATCGCCCCCCCGCCCTAAGGCGCCCTCCGCGAAGTGCGAAGCTCCCGCGGCCTCGCCCTCGCAGCGCAAGGATGTCGCTGCCAGCGCCCAGCGCTCGGGCATGGACCACCCCCCTCGAGGCGGCGTCGGGCGCGGGCCGGGGCGCTTGCCCGCGCGGGGCGCCCCGCTTTCGTTGACTCCGTCGGGCGGGTCGCCTCCGCGCGCGCCCCCGCCCCGCTGCGGCTCGCAAGTAAAACCATGGGCGGCGCGCCGCGCGCGGCAGCGAGACCCCGCGAGGGCTATCGCAACGGGCCCCCGGGCCGCCGGCCGCCGGGCCGCCCGGGCCGTCGATCCCTGTGAGGGGCGTCGGCAAGGGCCCCCCCTAACCGGACGTGGTCCAGCAGGGGGTCGGCCGCGCAAGTCCAATTGCCGCGAGCCGACCTGGACTCTGGACCATCTCCCCCCTCGCCACTTCTGTCGCGGGCCGCGTCGCGAAAACGGCGCCCCCGCCCCGCTGCGGCTCGCAAGTAAAACCATGGGCGGCGCGCCGCGCGCGGCAGCGAGACCCCGCGAGGGCAATCGCAACGGGCCCCCGGGCCGCCGGCCGCCGGGCCGCCCGGGCCGTCGATCCCTGTGAGGGGCGTCGGCAAGGGCCCCCCCTAACCGGACGTGGTCCAGCAGGGGGTCGCAAAGGCCGCGCAAGTCCAATTGCCGCGAGCCGACCTGGACTCTGGACCATCTCCCCCCTCGCCACTTCTGTCGCGGGCCGCGTCGCGAAAACAGCGCCGCGGCCACGATTGGCCCGAGCCCGCGTAGGAGGCGCGTGGAAGCAGCGGCGCACTTCCAGTCTCCGCGGCATCCCGAGGCCGCGCCGGGCTGGCCAGCAGACGCTGCAGCCGCGCCCTCGGCGTCGGCGTCG